TTAGCTTTAGGGCTAATGGGGAAGAGGAATTAGACTCATTTTCTTAGATCTATCAGCATCTAATTCAAGAAAGACTAGCAGGAGTTTATTTATTTATTTATTTTTGCGATACGCGGGCCTCTCACTGTTGCGGCCTCTCCCGTTGCGGAGCACAGGCTCCGGACGCGCAGGCTCAGCGGCCATGGCTCACGGACCCAGCCGCTCCGCGGCACGTGGGATCTTCCCGGACCGGGTCACAAATCCGTGTCCCCTGCATCGGCGGGCGGACTCTCAACCACTGCGCCACCAGGGAAGCCCAGGAGTTTATTTTTAAAGAAATCAGAATAAAGTCAATGCTGGGGAAATGCTGTAGGTCTTTACAATGATAGCAAGAGAAGCTCCCCTACATAACAGTGAGAGCTGGAATCAATGTCTCCAGTTTAGCCTGAGTATACATCTGACAGAGAAACGTCAGCTTTCTAATTTGTTATATGGAGATAACAGTCTTATATTCTTGCTTATATTCTATTTAGTTGTATAGATCCAAGGAGATTATTTCTGAGGATATACTTTGAAAAATGAAATACAGTACTAACAGGAAGCACCACTGTCATTAAACCCATCACTTAACCTCTAAATCTCCATTTCCCTATTTAAACTATCTCAAAATGCCTCTCCCTCTGCTTTTTGAGTCAGAGGTAAATGGAAAAAATTTTATTTTGCTGCTTATGGTAGCAATACAGGTTGCATTAGAAATGAATGGGATGGAAGGACTCTGTTGACTTTGTTTAACCCTGCAATGGGATCCACAAATGAACAGGGCATTCACAGAGTGGAAATTTATGCCTCCAACTAACAGTAATAAGGTAAGTTTACTTTAAAAATGATATTTGGGGAGTGTTCAATTACTGTGAAGTTATGCCCCAACCAAAATGTCATCCAGTTCCCTAGAATCATCCACATGTCTTCTGAAAAGGTTTCCTCATTTGCCTCATCCTTCTGGCTTGACTGATGGCTCCTACCCAGCCTAATCACTATCACAAAGCATATGTTGGTTTAGGCTATAACAGACCTTCATAGATCGTTTACTGGATTCTCCCTTGCCGTAAATTGTTATTTTTCTTTGTTTCTAGCAATAATAATACCGGGCATTGTATAAAAACTAGCTACCATTGACTGAATGACTGCCAGGTTTTCAAGCACTGAGCTAAAAGCTCAACGTGCATTAACAATGATAATAACATTTGAGACAGACACTGTTACAAGTGCTTTGCAGTCATTATTAGTAACTCATTTCTTTATCAAAAAACCCTGTGAAGCAGATACAATCTTCCCAAATTTACAAAAGAGAAAATTGAGGCACGATAATATTCCAGAACATGACAGCATTCACAGAACTGGTTAAGTGGTTAAGTTGCACTGAAGCTGTGACGGAAGCTCTTAAATGTCTTGCCACAATGCTGGAAAGCAGGTATTGCCTTCAGTAGAAAGATACTGAGATCAATTCTCAAAATTCTGACGCGGCTGCCCCTATTTGCATAGTAAAGACTATGTGATAGACCAAGGACTCTATCAAAGTAACCAGATTAGGTCCAAGATGGAATCACTCATGCTAAGCCCCACATCAGCAAACCAGAATTTATCTGTTTCCCTACCTGGGCTCTCCAAGCAAAGGAAGGCCCAGGTCAACCAAGCAATCATGCTTGCCTGTTTACCAAACCCTTATCCAGCTCCTTGTTCCATATAAGGAAAGGAACTCTCCTTTAACCCATTAGCAAATGCCCAGTACATCTTCCTTGACCCTGCTCACTTTGGTCTATAAAAAACTCTCACCTTGTACTGCTCTTCAGAGCTCCTTTCTACCTGCTAGATTAAATAGTACCCAAGTCATGAATCACTGAATAAAAGTCAACTAGATCAGTAAGTTATCTGTGGAAAATTTTATTTTAACAACTCTTCGGCGATCCTTTCCAAATCCATGATCTCAGCTCTTCCACATACCTCATGAGCTTTATATCGTGAGAGAACACTGTGACCTCAGTTTCCTCAGGAAAGTGACTCCTCTCTGCCTAATCATATCATAAGGGAAACCAGGGCTAGAATCAGTAAATGTTTCCCAACAAATAGAACTAAACAGTAAAGTGTTTTAATCCCAGCACATCTTTCATTCTAATCACTATATTCTCAGGGGCAAGCACTCAGCAAGCTGTGTGGGAATGACACGCACTGTTTCCATTAAAGTCATAACAGAATCTGTGTACAACACTCCTTCTCACTCCCTCGAAAACAACTCCCTTGCTCCTCTTCTAGTGAATATTAGCATCTACAATGTGTTCTGCTTTGCCTCTGCATTCCTGGTCTGAAACTCTTTTCTGGAAAAAAGGCTTACAAAGAGTTTCTGGAAGTAAGAATTATGGACCCCCAGGGTACCTAAGGAATAGGAAACTCACAAATTAATCCAATGTGTAATTCGTTTTTTCCTTTTTCTCAGAGTTAATAAAAATTAAGTGTTCTCACAAATATAGTAACTGAATATCCAAAACAATATTACTGAATCATATTGGCTTAAAATATATATGATAGAAGACTCACTTGATTTTTGTCATCAATTAAAAGTTATTAAGTATTAAGGAAATTATATTTTATTTTTTTGTTCTGAACATGTTTTATGATTCCTACCTAATCACATCTCCTTCTAAAAAAATTATCTACCTTTTTTAGAGACAAGAGCTCACATGTCCATGTTTTATTTTATAATCATAGCTGATACCTTGTGAGTCATAGTTGTTTGGGTTGGACTAAGGAACTTGAACCCTTGGACTGGCAGAAGTCTGTGCTTTGTGGAGCCTAGTTCAAAAATAGGCTTCACCATTCATATCTTTCCCTGGGAATCTGGAAGGGTATAATTGAGAGATTACATAGTTAGAAACAGTAATAAAATAGTTTTTGAATATAAAGGCAATAATTAATCTCAAACCCTTTACTTCTCGTATGGCAGAATTTTTCAACTTTGGCACTACTGATATTTGGGGCTAAAAATTTTTTTTTTAATTTTTACTTTATATTGGAGTATAGTTGATTAACAATGCTGTGTTAGCTTCAGGTATACAGGAAAGTGACTCAATTATACGTATACATGTATCTACTCTTTATCAAAAATTTTTTTCCCCATATAAGTTGTTACAGAGTACCGAGCAGAGTTCCTGGTGCTATACAGTAGCTCCTTGTTGGTTATCTATTTTAAATATAGCAGTATTATTATTGTTATTTTTAACGCGGGTTGTTACCTGGTGCATTGAATGATGTTTGGCAGCATCCTTGAACTCTAATGACTAGAAGCCAGTAGAATCTCCTTCTTCAGTCCTGACAATCACAAATGTTTTCTGACATTGTCAAATGTCCCCTATCAAAATCACTTCCAGTTGAGAATCACTGCCCTATGGATCTTGAACCAGTAGATCAATATACATAGAAATCAAAAGGGAAAGTTTAATAGCTGTCATTCTGGTAAAGCCAGAATACAGCTTGGAATTTAAAATCAAGACTTCTTTCAGGACTTTCCTGGTGGTCCAGCAGTTAAGACTATGCACTATGCACTTCCACTGTGGGTTCAATCCCTGGTTGGGGAACTAAGATCCCCCATGCGGCGCGGTGCAGCCAAAAAAAAAAAAAAAAAAAGGATTTCTTTCTTTCCCTCTGAACTGAAACTAGTGAGAAACAGAAAGAACAAGAGAATGAGAATAAGAATGAGTGGTAAATTCTTGGCAGCCCAGGTCCCAATTCCCTCAATCATATTAGTTACATATTCCCAAATGAAGGAGTTGCTCTGAGGAGAAAAGAGGAAAATGCTTCCCTTACCCCAAAAGAGGCAAGGCTTCCTATGTTATACATGAGATTAAAATACAAGTTAGAGAAAAAAATGTGTGCTGTAGAAAGGGGACAAAGATAATCTAGAAGAAGTAACCCACGCAAATAGGCAAGCTGGACAATGAAGATGTAGAAAACCAGTGTCAGCAGATCAGTTCCAGAGGTTGGCATGGGGAATACAGCAGATGGACACAGAGCACCAAAGACTCAGAGAGGGAGCAAAATATTTCTCTCTATGCCTAAGCTTCCAGGTCCAGTCAGAGTCCATATGTAATTATAACAATCATTTGTCCACTGCAATAATCTGACTGAATTCTTCCTTGTAAACCAAATAAGCCAGATTCAAACACTGATACTGCTATCATTTGTATGAAAAGAAGAGTGACTAGTCAATAATGTCAATCCAAATCTGAACCCATGTCATTTTCTTAAATTCAATTTTAATAGCTAAAAGGCAGGCTTGATTTTTTCATGGATTTTTAAAGCAGTTTTGAGAGAGAAAAAAAAAGAATACATGGCATTTTGCATCTTTCCTGGCATCCACCAAGACCTTAAACAGCTTAAGACTAGGAGATAACTTCCTTTCCTCTACTGATTTTTCCCTTTTAGTTAGGTGCATTTATAATAACTTAAGTTATCTTTCTCTATTATATTTTTGTGAAAACTGCTTTTCTCTGCCAGAGATTGTATTTACTTCCTACACCCTTAAGAGATTCTATTTTCTTCTACATTTTTCAATTCCTCAGAGTGCATTTTCTAAATTTTCTAAATTGTAGCACTGTAATCAAGGTTTCTAACTGTAAAAAAACAAAAACACAACAACAAACAGGCCTCAAGTTTCATATTTTTAGAACAATGACCAGGTGTTATTATGAAAAACCAGTTTCAGTTTGTCACTGATAAGACAAACTAAACTAAGAGGACTTTTTTCTTTACCCTCCCAAATGCGTTAAATG